TCTCATGGATTTTTGGCACTGTGTACTTCAAATGGATACCAAGGCAGGCTATTTGTAGACCTCATGTCCTTGTAATATTGTAGCCCTCACGTATTCCTAGTAATCCTAGAAAAATCATTCTGAGTCTGAATCGTGTAGTGGAGAACGAGGGTCCACAAGGTAACCCCTATAGGGTATTTATATGTACATTTTGGGTGTGGTGAAAGTAAAGGAATAGTTCAACGGATCAAGCTGAAATTTTGTGTGGTGACTACTGGTATATAGCTGAGTATTTGCTGAAAGTTTGAGTTAAATCTGTCTTCATTTTCTTGGGGGGCCGAAATGCACGTAAAACGTCCCTCGTCCTTTATTTCAAATGAAAACAATAGGTTATACAATACCTTCGTTCAATAAACGTACCATAAATGTAGATGTAGATCTTCAATCAAATGATAGTATCAAGGATTATTTTTTTCACATCAAGTACACGTTAATAATGTTCGTTTATCACAATCGTTAAACGAACAGTACAGATCATAAAATTTGAAGCAAACATCTTTTAGTTTTTCGACCTGTCCAATTGTTTCATTCGTTATTCAAGCTGGTGCAAATCCATTCTTAGTCAGATTTTTAAATTGTGAAGTTGACAGGTGTTCGTGAATAGTAGGATGCATGTTGATGAAATATTCGCGATCACTTAAATGATAACTATTTACGTGTCGTCTATCCGCCTTGATCAACGATTGCATAATATGCAAACAAACTTTTAGATCACCAAATGATGCATCAATGCATTTTAAATTCAATTATTCACTGTATAAGCCATGTTTCAAACACATCATATAATCTTTTTCACATTTTGATACTATTTAAGCTTCGGAAGACATCGAAGTTAATGCAATCTTCATGATATTTATATATTTAAAAAAGATTTTTGAAGCCTAATATTAAAATACTGGTGAGTAGGTATGCACCAGTTCCAGTCCGACTGGGTGCCAGCCCATCTGGAGGCCGATCTGACTGGGCAGTAATGTGATCGAATATCAGTCAGTTTAGTTGCTGGTCCCATCACGTATCAATCCGTCTGGATACCTATCCGATTGAGTAGTAGTGTGTCTGAGCTCTATTTCAAGTTGATACCAGTCGGACTGGAACTGGTATATACGTACTGGCGAGGGAGGTATCCGAAGTGTCCACTCGACTTAGAGCTCATATTTCAATCATAAGTAGTCCTCAGTAGGACTAGTACAAACCTAAAAGGATTCGTGCCCATGGACCTGTACAGCTGAGTTATGACTATTTTACTGAATTTCCTAGTCATTTTTAGATATTTACCAAAAAATCGAATAATAGGGTTTCGGTCTGAAATTTTGGACATAGATAAGTTTAATAGTCTTTAGAATATTCTGGAAGTTTCAGACAAAAGAATATTCTTTTCTCAAGATATTAGGTTTTCAAGTAAACATGATTCTTTTGACAAGCGACTATTTTTTGAAAGCTCAATATCTCGACAAAAGAATATTCTTTTTGTCTCAAACTTTCAGAATATTCTAAAGGCTATTAAACTTATCTATGGCCAAAATTTCAGACCAAAACTCTACCATTTGACTTCTCGGTAAATATCTAAAAATCACTAGGAAATTCAGTAAAACGGTCATAACTCAGCTGCACAGGTCCGTGGGCACGAATCCTTTTAGATTTCTACTGGTCCCACTAAGGGCTACTTATGGTTGAAATATGAGCTCTAAGTCGAGTGGACACTTCGGGTACCTTCCTCGTAAGTTAATTATATAAAAAAATTAATGTAAATTATCCTAATAGTTTTATATACTCAAAGAATGACTACCGCAAAAATCGAATATCTTCCTCTATACAAGTTAAGGGGCAGCCTATATTTTAGCCTCGTTAGTTTGACGATGAGAGCTTTAATGTAACCCGACTATATCCCATTTTTCACACAGACAGTACAAACACCGTCATTGTCAATTTCCCATGAGTCAGTCCAACAATAAAATCTAGCCAAGAGCGTATCAGAATCGCCAATTCGAACAGCTTGATACAAGTTCATTAATATCTAGTGAAATCTCACCGATATCCTCAATGCAAATGTATATGGTATCCTTCAGAAGATCCGTATTACTTATCGATAACATGATGTGATCAGGAATTTTCTCCTATTATGTACGAAGCATTCTCAAAGATGCATATTGAATCATTAAGATTCTCCAGAAACATAGAAATTATATCTTCTCAGGATTTTCTCAGTTTAGGATTTGCACATAGTTCATTATTTCATTACTTAAATTCTTGTCTGATGCTCATATAAATGATCATCCTACAAAAGATTCTGCATTCTGGCAATTTCGAATAAAATCTTCAGATACCTATGTTTCCCTATCAAAAGCTTGCATCGAAAAACTCCGTAAAGAGATCTCTAGGTATAGTTTTTCGGATCAAAAAAGACCTTGGCAAGAACTAAAAGTGACATAGATGAAAGAATCGGTACGAAATTCTTCTTTTTTATACGGAATTAGGAAAAGGCTTCTGAATATTTATCTGCCGAACGAGCATTCTCAAAGACGAATGTCGTATTTATAGCGCTTGCTTCCATGAGAGATGAGATCTCTTCGACAACGACGATTTCTTTTCTTTTTTCGTTCATTGCAGTAATTCCTAATATTCCTGTGAATGCCCGGTGGGCACAGAACGGAGTGACTGTCGCTGGAGGTCATGGACAAGGCAATGCCACCAATCAAATCGACCGTCCTTGGGGTCTCTTCGTTGATGACAATCAAACGATGATCATCGCTGATTACTTCAATCATCGTATCATCCAATGGAAGATGGGTGATATGAATGGACAAGTAGTAGCTGGTGGCAATGGCCAAGGAAATCGATTGGATCAATTGCATGGTCCAACCGATGTGTTGATCGACAAAGAGACGGATAGTCTCATTATTTGTGATCGAGGAAATGGACGAGTCGTACGATGGTCTTATCGTAGTGGCACAACTCAAGGAGAAATCCTCATCGGCAACATCGCTTGTGTAGGATTGGCCATGGATGATCAGAGATATCTCTACATCTCTGACACTGACAAACATGAAGTAAGACGATATCAAATAGGAGACAAGAATGGAACTATCGTGGCTGGTGGCAATGGCAAAGGTGCTGGTCTCAATCAACTCGACGTTCCGATCTACATCTTTGTCGATCAACAACAGTCTGTCTACGTGTCAGATTGGAATAATCATCGTGTGATGAAATGGAATAAAGGTGCAAAAGAAGGAATTGTCGTCGCTGGGGGTCAAGGCAAAGGAAATACTCTGATACAATTGTCGTATCCTAGTGGACTGTTCGTCGATACATTGGGTACCATCTATGTCGGAGATTCGGTGAATAATCGAGTTATGTGTTGGCCTAAAGGAACGAAACAAGGCGCTATTATTGTGGGTAAAAATAGTGAAGAAGCAGAAGCGAATCAGCTCAACTATCCAATAGGTTTGTCCTGCGATCGACATGGCAATCTCTATGTCATCGATTATAACAATCATCGTGTTCAACGATTTTCTGTTGAATAAACTCGTTAGGATGAATTTTTTTTTCTTTCCTTTTCTTTCAAATAAATCGCATTGAATTGATGAAATGAATGGTTTATTCTATTCGCGCGCACGACCAGGAACCATCCTGGTGGAGCCGTGGCGAGCGTAACGCTCATGCACGCACAGGACAGACTCATATCATTCATACCCTCCCCGCAAGAGATATGTCAATGAGTCTGAATAAGCCTGGTCGTGTGCCACGGACACCAAGATGATTCCTGGCCGGGCTTTTAGGGCCTACCCGGAAGGCCTATATATAACGAAATATATATATATATATATATATCTATATAAATATAATTTCGTTATGATGACAAATGGAGAGGCACATTAAGGCTCCCCCCTCAAAAAAAGTCAATTTTCGTCAAAAATTCCGGAATTGAGATAAATACATGGAGAGATAGCCCATCATCTGCTCTTTCATAAACGATAATTTGTTTTTCTCGTTACTTCATTTTTCCCAAAAAATTTTGAAGATTTCCGTCAACCCCTATTCGAAAAACCAGCTGTTCTTTGAAAAATCAAAAAATGTTTTTCGTTTTTTCTCGATTTATGATTTTTTGACCTTTTGTCCAAGATTTCTCGGTCCGCGCTAGGTAAACATATTTAAATTTTTTTTTGTTTGAAAGAGCGCGTCGGGATGCAGGGCACCACAAAGTCCTTTTTTTGATTAAGCATTGTTTTTTATTATGTTTACCGACATAGACATCCTTTTTTGGCGCGTTTTTTGAGCCATTGAACTTGTGATCCCCTTTTTCTGCTAAAAAAGTATGAATTTAAAGAAAAGGACTCTGTGGTGCCCTGCATCCTGAGATGCTCTTTCAAACAAAAAAAATTTAAATATGTTTACCAAGCCCGGATCGAGAAATCTTGGACAGAAAAATGAGCTGTTTTTGACCCTTGTTTGGTTCATATCTCTGTTAATTGTAAGTGTATCGAGCTGAAAATTTTACCACAGCCTCCCCACTTCAGCCCCGACATATGCTCAAAATTTCAGCCCATTTGAACGTTCCTGGGCTGAGATCGATTTTTGAGGGGGGGGGGGCTTAATGTCTTTGATCCCATTGTGGGCATGATGTTTATTCGACTGTGCATTACATCCAAATGTAACACTTTCATACACAACATGAGCTTATATAGAAGAGAAACAGGAGAGAAGAGAGAATAGATAATACAATACGAGGAGAGGAAAGGAAAGAGGAAAGATATAACAAAAGATTATGCAATGTAAGAATGAACAAGTGATGAGGCTAGGGAGAGAACAATGTAAGAATGAAAAGTGATGACGCCAAGAAGAGAACAGATATAGAAGAACAATCGAGTATGACCACATAGATGAGAGCGATACATATAATATACGAGTGAATGTAGAATGAGAAGCGCATTATGACATAAAGAGAATAAGGTTCAATCAAGCATACATAAACGTAAGAGTAATGCGATTATGAACACTACGTAACATTAATTGTACAAGAACACACTGAGAAAGTAAAGATATCATATAAGATGATATGCCCATTGGCACACTATAAATAACAGAGCCTAACTTCAACGGACATAACTCACCCCTTCCTCACTAACACTCACTATGCTTAGTCTCAACCTAACTCTCCTCAATCTCAATGTTATTATCTATTCTCAATTTTCCCTCTTGCCAGATTTTCATCTAAAAAAAAAAGAAATAATTACTCACGTGCTTTGACGTTGGACGATGATAAAGACGCGATGATGTTGAGGACTAATAAGAAAAGAAAAAAACTTTAATCAATCTTATCAAATAGAAAAGAATCTGTTAACTTACCTCACTGTCATCGTTTCTTTTCACTTTTGAATACCTTAAGAGAGCGTCCGTGAGAGGACCACCCTACTCTCCATATAGGTCGCCGGGAAAAAATTTTTTTTTTCGATCTTATTTTCTTAAATGATAGCCCTAGGTAAACCATAGTTAAATCCAAAATATTAGGTCATTTCGTTTTACCTATGAAAAATGCGAGCTAAAACAAGTTTAAGGGGGTCTATTTTGACCCTAAAAATCCGCTAAAAATGGGTGTGCTCAGTAGAGACCTGCACGGAGTCAGTTTCGGAGTCGTGGTCGGAGTCGAATAAAACTGTTACGAATAATTCATTTTTAACATTAAACATTTTTGGAGTTGTAGGTTTTGTTCTCTGATCTTTTCTCTACAAACTAATGTATTTTCAAGATTCAATTGACATCTTATCGAGGCCTATGAATCAAAAAGAAAGTCGGAGTCAAGAAAAATCGGAGTCACGGTTGACTC